AAATTTGCTCAAATTTACTTTAATTTAAATTAATGGCACAGTGAGTTGTCTTTACTCTCAATTCAATAAAGAAATTCAACAATAAATGATAAATCAATCAAAAATGATAAAATGGAATCAATAAATCTTGTGCAAAAGTAAAAGGACTGGGAAAGCAATTCTCTAAAAAAATTGAAATAAAGTGACACACAAAGAATGAATTATTATGCACAGAACACAGAAATGTAAAACTGAAATCACAGAATATTGCACTGAAATAAACTGTAGCAATATTGCAAATAACAATTACTAAGTAAAGTAAAAGGACACAAGTGCAACATTAGTTGCACTTGTGTCCTTTTACTTTACATATTGTCAGTAATTCTACCAACTTTATTACAACAATTACTAATAATAATAATAATGTTTATTTCTTTGTAAAGGTTACGATGTGTAATTACAATTTTGATTTGCTAAGTACATGTACAAAGATAGCCACTATCATGCCAAGGCATTTCGGGCAAACTAATCCTAATACATAGTAACTAATTAAAACTAGATAAGAGAATAGTACATAGTAATTATACTTAAAACTAAACATGGAATAGTGGTTAGCTGTTTTACAATCTTATTTGGACTTAATAAATCTTATGTATACTTAGTACAAAATCTAATTTACAAGGAATGGTGCAGGTGGTAATATTTTACGGAATGGCAGAATTAAAAGCCAGGTGGTCACATGATAAAACTAGTCAGTAGATGTTTGGTTGATTTGGTTAATATTGTGAGATAAAATGATTTTTTTAGCAGAGTCCTAAATTTATAAGCTGTTTGGGGATCCTTGGCCTGTTCCGGTAGCGAGTTCCAGATCTTCGGGCCTTTTATATGCATAGCGTTCTTGCATAGTGAGAGTCTTACTCGAGGGATGTTGAAAAGTGCCTTATGCCTTGTATTGTGACTGTGCATTCTGTTGTAACTGTCGAGGAGTAGTTTTAGGGGAGGGTTTACAGTGGAGTTTAAAGTTCTGTATATGTAGTAGGCACAATAATAAGAGTGTATGTCTTGTATATTTAGCAAGTTGAGTCTTTTGAAAAGTGGTGGGGTGTGCTGTCTAGCACAGGAGCTGGTTATCACCTGCACAGCAGCTTTTTGTTGGATTATTAAGGATCTAAGGTGGTTGGCAGTGGTTGAGCCCCAGGCACAGATACCATAGGTGAGGTAAGGATATATTAGAGAGTGGTACAGGGTAAGGAGAGTCGTTTGTGGTACATAATAGCATATCATGGAAAGGATTCCTACTGATTTGGAAATTTTCTTGGCTATGTGATGGGTATGGGACTGAAATTTAAGATTACAGTCAAGGAGAAGACCTAGAAATTTGCCCTCCGTGTGTCTTGATATAGGGGAACCATTTAATAGTATGTTGAGTTGAATATTTGAGGATCTGTTGCCAGACAGCATAAAGTATGTTTTGTCTATGTTGAGAGTGAGTTTGTTGGTCATCATCCAAGCATGTATCTTTAGCAGTTCATTGTTTACAGTGTTGTCAAGCACAGCTGGGTCTGGATGAGAGTAGACATATGTAGTGTCATCTGAAAATAGAACTGGTCTAAGGAGTTGGGATGCATTGGGGAGATCATTGATGTAGATGAGAAAGAGGAGTGGGCCTAGGACACTACCTTGGGGTACTCCTACAGCTACAGGTTGGATAGTGGAGTTGACTCCATTTGCATGTACATACTGGTGTCTGTCGTTAAGATAGGATTTTAGGTAGTCAAGAAAATGTCCTCTTATGCCATAATAATTCACCTTGAGGTGCAAGAGATTGTGGTCATCTGTGTCAAACGCTTTTCTTAGGTCAATAAAGAGCCCCAGGGGATATTCATTTTTATCGAGAGCTGTGTATATTAGGTCAAACATTTGTATAATAGCATCATTTGTGCTTTTTTTGGTCTAAATCCAAACTGGCATGGGTTAAGTATGTTGTTGGATGTAAGGTAGGAGTAAAGTCACTTGTGTATTTTTTTCAAATATCTTGGATAGTAAGGGCAAGTTTGATATGGATCTGTAATTGTTCAAATCAGCTGGATCTCCACCTTTGTGGATCGGGGTGACCCTTGCTGTCTTGAGTATGGATGGGAAGGTTGAGGATGTTATAGATTTGTTAAATAACAAAAAGGCACAATACCGTGACTGGAACAATACACAAATAACCCGCACATAAAAGAGAGAAGCTTACGACGACGTTTCGGTCCGACTTGGACCATTGACAAAGTCACACTAACAGAGGTGGAGCAGGACGGCTATATATAGGCAGGAAGAGCTGGAAGTAGTAGTAGTAGTACAAGAATTGTATATAATACCGACAGGATGAAATTAGGACACATGCACAACGCCCGGGCATCCCCATCGTAGACGTTTCACCATCCAGCCAGCCACTGGATGGCGAAACGTCCACAACAAAGACAACCAGGCGCCGCACATGTGTCTTAATTTCAACAGTAGTTGTAGTAGAAGAAGAAGAGGTAGTAGTAGTGGTAGCGGAAGAAGTGGGAAATAAGGAAGACGAGCCAGTCAAATACAAAGGAAGGGGAGCACTGCAAGAGAGCTAGATACCCACAGAGGGAGAGCAAGCGCACAGAGGTGCGTGAAAGGGGAAGTGGTGAAATAAAATAAATGAAGAAGGAACAGAAACACGAGACAGGAGAGAGAAAAAGACAACGCAGAGGAGAAAAGGAGAGAGGAAAGGGGAAGAGGAAGAAGAAAAAGAAAAATGTGAGGATTCAGGTTAAGTCACGGGTGTTCTGAAGTTTGGAGCATTTTACAATGTAGTGGGAGAGGAAGTCATCTACAGAGACGAAGCCAGGGCTAAGGTTCATACAAGGAAAGTTGTGTATTAGAGAGGATTCAACTAGACGGCGACTGTTCGAGTTGAAAGTAGGGAAGACAGTTTTAGCAGAAGACCAGTCAATAGGATGGCTATGATCTCTGACGTGACAGAAAAGAGCATTGTTAGTGTCGGCAAGCCTAACACTATTTTTGTGCTCTCTAAGTCTGTCAGAAAGAGATCGACCAGTTTCTCCGAAGTATTGAAGAGGACAGGAGGAGCAAGAAATAGAGTAGACACCAGGAACATCTGTAGAGGGAGGAGAGGTATGAACGAGATTAGTGCGAAGAATGTTAGTCTGGCGGAAGGTAAGCTTAATGTCTAAGGGACGGAGAGAATTATTGAGATTAGAAAGGCCGGAAATGTAGGGAAGGCAGAGGATAGAAGAGTTCCCATGAGTAGAGAGTTTGGGAGAGAAGAAATTGCGTTTGGCGCGTGAGAGGGCAGAGTCTATTTGACTGGCTCGTCTTCCTTATTTCCCACTTCTTCCGCTACCACTACTACTACCTCTTCTTCTACTACAACTACTGTTGAAATTAAGACACATGTGCGGTGCCTGGTTGTCTTTGTTGTGGACGTTTCGCCATCCAGTGGCTGGCTGGATGGCGAAACGTCTACGATGGGGATGCCCGGGCGTTGTGCATGTGTCCTAATTTCATCCTGTCGGTATTATATACAATTCTGTACTACTACTACTACTACTACTACATACTACTTCCACCTCTTCCTGCCTATATATAGCCGTCCTGCTCCACCTCTGTTAGTGTGACTTTGTCAATGGTCCAAGTCGGACCGAAACGTCGTCGTAAGCTTCTCTCTTTTATGTGCGGGTTATTTGTGATTTGTTAAACATTGTTGCAATAATGGGCATCAGTTCTGGGGCAGCTTTTTTAATATATGAATGGCGGCAAATTATCTAGATCACCTGATTTGTTTTTTAATGATTTAATGATGAGTGAGGCTTCAGTGGGATTAGTTGGAGCTAGAAATAGAGTATTTGGGTAGTTGCCAGTGAGGTACTTGCTTGGATGGGTATTTGAGCTAGGAATTTGACTCGCTAGCTTTGATCCTACACCCCTCAAGGAAGGTTCCTTGATGTTGATGAGGGGCTCTTGATTTAGGGAATTGGATCTGTGCTCCAGTTCCCCGAATTAAGCCTGAATGCCTTCCACATCCCCCCCCCAGGCGCTGTATAATCCTCCAGGTTTAGCTCTTCCCCCTTGATTATAATAATATAATAATAATTTGATCCTACAGTAGAGAAGAAGACATTAAATTTGTCGGCTGTGTCTATAGGTTGCATGTGAGGTTCATCTGGGTTAGTTAAGTCTATCTCTCTATTTCCATTCGGTTTCCTTGATCCCAAAATTTTGGAGAGGGTTTGCCAGGTACTTTTCATGTCACCTTTCATTTCGCTAAATCTATTTTCATAATACATTCCCTTTGATTTACGTATTAGTTTTGTGAGTATTGATGTGTATCTTTTAGTAAATTCTTTAGTAATTAAGCCTAATCTGAACTGTTTTTCAATTTGGTGTTTTTTATTAATAGATTTGAGGATACTTCTAATGGGCTGTTTAGCATCTTTTCTGTGATCTGTTTACATTACATTAATTAGCACACCTACCATCTGACTTACGACCTGCTCGACTTACGACCGTGTTTTTTATGCCAAATTTCTGGGAAATAAACAACTATTTGTGTTGTAAGCAGTGTTTATCCTAAACCTTACAGTATAAAATACAGTACTAACAACATAAAAATTAAAGTAAAACATGAAATACCAAAATAAAACAATAAAATAAAGTCATTACAAAAATGTTTTGTTGATATTCAGTAGTAAAGTTCGACTTATGACCATTTTGACTTATGACTGGTTTCTTGGAACCGAACTCGGTCGTAAGTCGGATGGTAGGTGTATTTCAAAATAATCAGCAATCAGATTAATAAATATATTGTTTTTTCCTGCAGTGTTTGTTATATAAATGAAGTTAGTAGACATCAATAATTTGTTTAATATTTATAGGTTTTGACTTATGAGTCTTCTCTTCTATAACTGAAAAAGAATTTGACCTGAAGAATGATTAATTGTTTGTGTTTTACTTTTTAAACATGGAAGATATTTCTCCAACAGGAGACGTCAGTGCCAAACACACGGTATCCACCAACACTGCCAGTAGTGAGAAAGAGTATGTACCCCTCCAACTCCTTCTTGCCTCCTCGAAGACCTCAGAAGTTAGTCACAAATCATCAGTCATCCACCATGATGAACGATACGCACTTGATTTGTAAACGCACTTCCAGGGTCAGTCAAGAAAATGAAAATTTTGAAAATATGAAGTTAGATGATAAAAAAGATATAACATCATATTCCCTTTCAAAAAGAGGAACTGCTGTAAATGGACTGAATACATCAAAGTTGGAACATTATTCATATATTGTTCTACAAGTAGGTGAGGGAAAGGACAAAAAGTCTTGGATTTGTATGTCGCCTGAAGAACCATTTACAGCTCTTTGGAATGATGATGATGATAAGGAAAATATTTCCACTTTTAAACATGTCAAGCGTTGGTCTTTCTGCTATGGTGAAGATGAAAGATTAGAAATTTTGCCAAAAAAGTTCCAAAAACATGACTTTAGAGAGAGAACCTGGCTTTTACAGTCATGGTGCAAATGGAAAATGCCCCTCTGGAGAAGTCAAGGAGAGCTGTGGTCCAAAAAGTTGAAAACCAATGTGTAGTTGCCGCATTCTGGTTACTGCCATGCGTATTTGTTTTTGTAGAAAGGTAGAAAAACTTTTTTGTCAACCTGTTCGTACTACTTATATTTAATGTGTACCAAAATACTCTTTAGTAGTATTTTAAACATAATCTATATAAAGGTTTTCTAAACTTTATTGATAACCGTGAAACCGACTGTAGAAAATTTAACATCAGTGTTATTGTGTACTATGGTGTTAACTGCATGAAGTTAAGTTTTTATGTGTCAGGTGTAGAGGATGCCAAGTGTTACGTTAGCTATGTGATGAGCATTTAAATGAGTTGGCACTGGACAATTTTTATCTTAATGTGTTAAATATATGAATGTAGTCTAAAGTGTTTTAGGTTATAATGTATTATAGTGTACAAACATGAATGTTGAATTTAAAATATAGTGGGAGTGGACATAGAAGAAATTTGAAAATTTATCTAGGCCACAAATGCACATACTAATAGCAAAATCAATATGAAAATTGTTTGCATAAACGGAAAAAAAGGCTTTGAAAAAAAAACATTAAAAATCTGGAGAGATTACATTAAAGAAAAAACCTCAAAAACTAACAAAATATACTAAGAAAGCTATTAGAGTGATCTTAAAAAGCAATGTTTTTTATATCCAGCTATCAGTTGAACCTGATATGGTTATCAAGATCTAATCACCTTTATCAGTCTTTGTCCAAATGATAATAATGCTCTCCCATTAAAGTTAAACAACGCTAATATTACATACCGGTAAGTGTGGATGTGATGCTTGACTACATGTAAGTAAAGTTGGGACTTGTAACTTGTGATGAACCTAATGCTTACTGAAGCATTAATTAAATGTCTATTTTTATACATATTCCTTTTTTTCTTCTTTTTGTACACACACACACATACAGTGTCTCTGATGTGTATAGTATACAAAGTCATGGAGAAGATTATCAGGAGGAGAGTAGTGTAGCACCTGGAATGGAACAAGATTTTAAACGACAACCAGCATGGATTCATGGAGGAAAAATCCTGTGTCACAAACCTTCTGGAGTTCTATGACAAGGTAACAGAAGTAAGACATGAGAGGGAGGGAGGGGTTGATTTCATTTTCCTGGACTGCAGGAAGGCCTTCAACACAGTTCCTCACAGGAGATTAGTGCAGAAGCTGGAGGACCAAGCACGTATAACAGGAAGGGCACTGCATTGGATCAGAGAATACCTGACAGGGAGGCAACAACGAGTCATGGTATGTGATGAGGTATCACAGTGGGCACCTGTGGCGAGCGGGGTCCCACAGGGGTCAGTCCTAGAACCAGTGCTATTTTTGATATATGTGAATGACATGATGGAAGGGATAGACTCTGAAGTGTCCCTGTTCGCAGATGATGTGAAGTTAATGAGAAGAATTAAATCAAATGAGGATCAGGCAGGACTACAGAGAGACCTGGACAGGCTCGACACATGGTCCAGCAACTGGCTTCTCGAATTCACCTCTGCCAAATACAGAGTCATGAAAATTGGGGAATGGCAAAGAAGACCGCAGACAGAATATAGGCTAGGTGGACAAAGACTGCAAATCTCACTCAAGGAGAAAGATCTTGGGGTGACCATAACACCAAGCATGTCTCCGGAGGCACACATCAACCAGATAACTTCTGCAGCATATGGGCGCCTGGCAAACCTGAGAATAGTGTTCCGATACCTTAGTAAGGAATCGTTCAAGACACTGTACACTGTGTACGTCAGGCCCATACTGGAGTATGCAGCACCAGTTTGGAACTCACACCTGGTCAAGCACATCAACAAATTAGAGAAAGTACAAGGGTTTGCAACAAGGCTAGTTCCGGAACTCAGGGGAATGCCCTACGAAGAAAGGTTGAGGGAAATCGGACTGATGACACCTGAGAACAGGAGGGTCAGGGTAGACATGATAACGACTTACAAAATACTGCGTGGAATGGATAAGGTGTACAGAGACAGGATGTTCCAGAGAGGGGACACAGAAACAAGGGATCACAATTGGAAGCTGAAGACTCAGACGAGCCCACAGGGATGTTAGGAAGTATTTCTTCAGTCATAGAGTTGTCAGGAAGTGGAATAGCCTAGCAAGTGATGTAGTGGAGGCAGGAACCATACATAGTTTTTAAGATGAGGTATGAGAAAGCTCAGGAAGCAGAGAGAGGAGAGAGGAGAGAGAGAGAGAGAGAGAGAGAGAGGGCCTAGTAGCAATCAGTGAAGAGGCAGGGCCAGGAGCTGAGTCTCGACCCCTGCAACCACAATTAGGTGAGTACACACATACACATACATACATGCATGCATGCATGCATGCAAGCATACATATATACTTACATACATACATACTTACATATACGTACAGCCTCTCCTCACTTAGCGATGTACTCGTTTACCGACGCTTTGGACTTAGGACAGGCTCTCTGACTAGTATTCATACCTAAATAACGTATATTAGAGCTGATTTCCTCTATTCTGTTTATTTCACTATACAGTACACTACTGTATAAACATTTAAAAATATACAGTAGGCCCCGCTTTACGGCGTTTTTGCTTTACAGCATTTTGCTAATACGGACATTTTAAATTATGACCAAAAATCGCTATGTGTCTCCCCCCCACCTGACTTTCTAGTATGATCACCGCTCCCCACCTGGTTTGTTGACATTCTTCGGGAACACCACCTCTCTCCATTATGTCTGGAAACTTTACAAAATTTCAAATGTTATTAAAAGTTATTTCATATTTTATATATGCAGTACTCTGATAATTATACTTGCATACCTGTGCCTAAATACAGTGGACCCTTGTTATTGACCGATTCCGCTTATCATCCACTCGGTTCATCAGCATTTTTTTCTGGTTCCAGTTATAAGCCATTTTTTCGATTTTTGGCACGTATGGGACGCATATCAACCTGACCAACGCCGCATCTCCTGTCGGTATGGCTGTCTCTTGGGTGAGTGAGGAAACTTCTGCTCATTGCCCAACATTTCGCTATAATCCATTGTTTTTTGTGGTTACTGCTTGAGTGCAACTGCGATAATAGCAAGACTATGGACCCCAAAATAAAGTTCATAGTAAAGTTCCTTTTGGTAAAGAAAATGAGAAAATGATGGAATTTAGAAAGACGTTGTTTTGTGAAAAGTTGAGAGTGAAGGAGAAGGAAGAGAGAGAGGCGAATGTGCCCTTCTTCATTGATTCTGCGGATTTGTACGATACTAAGCTGCAGGAGTCAAATAAAGGCTATAGCGCCAGCCAGCGATTATGTGTAGCATTAACTCGTGTGCAAGTAAGGTTAAGTGCTTAAGTGTTATAAAAAGACGACACGAACTTAACTTCCTTAACACTGTTTAGAGGTATATAGGCTGCTGGACATCATACTGCCCTGCCTATCTTCCACTACCCTAAACAATGCCTGCATCTCTTCCAAGGTACAGTAAGTGAATATTTCTTATTTTATAAATTAGAGTGTAAATAATTTTATTTATAAATTTTTGTACTTGTTTAGTGAATGGTTGTGGTTTGCTCTGCTGCCAACCAACTACCACTAATACGTAATGCATATTTTTTTCATTCGAGAGTATATATCATGTTTCTGTGTTATTATATTGTTTGTCTCATATTAGATGAATTATGTTAGATATATATAAGTCGTAGAGTTGTTAAAAGCATCGTATATTTAAGCCCCCCTCCCCGTTTTGCAAATGCCAACAAAGACTCTTCAATTAAGGTAAAAGTTCATTTTAACCGTTAAACAGTCAAACTTTTTATACTCTCTTACCATCTACTGCCCGAATCATTTTGAAAAATAAAAAAAAAAAATAGTTTTTTATTTAGAAATAAAGAGCACACTTTTTCTATAGTGTTATAGGATAAAAAAAAATAGGGTCAGTACTTACCAAGATACGGAGGCGCACGAAGTTGAGCACTTGGCGATCACTGATGGGCAAACATGGACTCTGCCGCTTGCAGAGGGTTGACGATATACTTTTTTCATCGTATTCCATATTTTTTTTTTTTTTTTTTCAACAATAGTCGGCCGTCTTCCACCACCGAGGCTGGTGACCCAAAGAAAATACTATCAATCATCATTCAACACTTTCACCACATCGCACATTATCCAACTGTCTTTTGCAGAGGTGCTCAGAATCACAACAGTCTAGAAGCTTTACACATATAATGATACACAAACATATCCCTCCAAAATGCCAATATCCCAAACCCTCCTTTAAAGTGCACGGCTTGTTCTTCCCATTTCCAGTACTCAAGTCACGACCTATATGAAAATAACCGGTTTCCCTGAATCCCTTCATAAATATTACCCTGCGGGTCACAACTCCAAAGATCGTCGAGGTCCCACAGTACATTCAGTTCTCTAATTCACTCCTATCTAGAACACGCTCACGCACGCTTGATGGGAGTTCCAATGCCCCCCCTTACCCACAAATACCTCTTTACCCCTCTCTCCAACCCTTTCGAGGACGACCCCTACCCCGCCTTCCTTTCCCTATAGATTTATATGCTCTTCCATGTCATTCTTACTGTGGATCATTCTCTCTAAATGACCAAACACCTCAACAACACACCTACTTCTGCCTCTGATAATATTTTATTAACTCACACCTTCTCACTAATTTCCTCACTCGAATTTTCTGCAATAATATTTAAACCACACTTTGCCTTAAACAGGACATTCTCCGCTGCCTCCAACCGTCTCCTTCGCTGCTGCATTTACCACCCAAGCTTCACACCCATATAAGAGTGTTCGGTACTACTATACTTCATACATTTCCTTCTTTGCCTCCTTAGATACGGTTTTTTTGACATCCACATATACTCAATGCACCACTCACCTTTTTTCTCCCTTCATCAATGCTATGAATAACCTCATCCTTCATAAATCCATTCCGACGACCGTCAACTCCCAAGTCTGAAAACATTCCACTTCTTCCTACTCACTCCTCCCCAATTTGATATCCAATTTTTTCTTTATCTAATCATTTGACACCCTCATCCCTTACTCGTTTCTCTGTTCCACTTTCAACTTTCTACTTTACACACATTACCAAAACTCTTCCCACTAACCTTTGCAATTTTCTTTAGACTCTACCATAAAGCACAGTATCATCAGCATAAAGTAACTGTGTCAATTCCCATTTTGAATTTGATTCCCCATAATTTAATCCCACCCCTCTCCCTAAACACACCTAGCATTTTACTTCCTTTTACAACCCCATCTATAAAATATTAATACCCATGGTGACATTACACATCCCTGGTCTAAGACCTTACTTTTACGGGAATTAGTCTCCCACTCTTCTACACACCCTAAACCTGAGCCT